AGCTTCGGGGAAAATTTAGGTGAAATTGGAGTCAAGCGTTTTAAAAAATGGGATGACATACATTTGCTGAACATTAAGGCCACTTTCAGCTCACAATTTTAGAGCTTTGCTCCATTTGTAGCACTGTTTTGTCTTCAGCTGCAGTAGGCAGATGTTTTCAGATAAAAACATGGTAAAAGCCTCAAACCTTCTCCGCAGTGAACAGCAATCACAGTTAGACAAGAGCATTTAGCCCCTAAACAGATATTTCCCTGAGATTTAAAAGTTAAAAGAACATTGGACTGAAGTGCACTGACAGCTAACTTGTCCTGCTTTCATGACAAACTTCTCTTGCTCTGTGTTACTACAGGTACAGTGCCTATAAAAAGGATCAACCCTTTTTATTGCTTTTCAAAACTCAATCATGGTCAATTTAATTAGGCCTTTTGGACAGGAATATACAAAAAAAAAGACTGATATCAAAGTGATTTTTATTTTTTATTTTTTTTACATAATATGAATGTATTAAAAATATAAAACGTAAAATAACTTATTGCAAGCATTCACTCCCTTTAAAGTGATGCAACTAATTCAACACAGGAGCAGCCAATTGGTGTGAGAAGCTATGCATTCGGTGAATTAATTATGACTGCGATGAATGTGTTTAAGTAACTGTAGTATAAAGACACCTGTACCGAGAAGGTCCAGTCAGTGGTGAATCAGTACCCCAGACTATAACTACACCATGGAGGGAAAAAAGACACTCCAAACAACTCTGTAAAAAGGTTGTTGAAAGGCACAAGTCACAGGATAAATACAAGAAAACTTCCAAGTCACTGAATAGTTTAATAGATCACATCACAGGTTTATTACCTGCATACATCCAGAGAGGAAAGTCCTTTTCTTGTTCAAGGTAATGTCATTTCAAGAAACTATGAATAATAAGTATAAAATTCAGTGATAGAGCTTCTACACTGAAATATTAAAGTCTTTGAGTCTGTTGCACTGCAGGAGAAGGCATGTTCTCTTGCCTGGGAGTTGATATAAATGTAGCCTTCACATTAACACCATTCTGCAGCACATTCTGCTAAAAAGTAAAAAAAAGTTTTAGCTTGTGGTTTGTATTTCTTTAAAGCAACCAGAATCATCTTATGTAGGGCTAAGCCAAGGGTGCCAGAACAGTGCTGGTACAAAATAGTGATGGGGGATTGCTTTGGTGGAACATTTGTAAGCAAAGGGCACTGTCATTAATATGGCTATTTCACCAAAAAAACTAGCAAGACTGCATTGCTGCACGGTCCAAATCCAAATGTGCTCAGTGTACAAACTTCCACTAACAGTGAATGTGTTTGTCATCTTCAGCTGGGTTTACACAAAAACACAAGTGTATTTCAGGCTGTAGCTGACACAGAGTACACGAGTCAGAGGCTGTAACAGTCAGTGTCAGCAGTCTGCAGGGCAGAGGCCCAGGCCTGGTCTGATGGGGGGTCTGGCAGGATCCAGCTCTGAGGAATTGATGAACCATCAGGATGATCTGCTGCAACCACAAACATGTCCCATTCTCTCCTGTAAAAAACACAAAATACAGTTGTATCCAGGGTCCTGTTTCACTGCAGACATGCTCACACACATCAGTAAGAAAAGTCATGTCTGAATTCAACTGGATCTGGGCCACTGTAGCCACGTTTCCATCAAAAGAGTGCAAATGTTAACTGACTTTCCTGACAATGTGACTGCATGTTTACCTCCCGCTTCTACTGCAGTGTGCATTTTAGCTGGTTGGTTGATTGAGAAAAACAACTGGTGGAGCCAAGCAACGAGTTTCAGTAATGAACTGAATTCTGTTATTGGCTGACAGACTATTGGTCAATATGAAATAAAGGAATAATCAGTAAACAAGGGCGAGAGGAAAAAAACTATAAAATTACTAAACAGACTTCATTAGAAAAATTTTTGCATGTTGTATTTTTTTCATTTTTATAAAACTAAACATCAGACTTAGATGTGAACACCATCTTCCAAATTAATGGACGTGTCACATGTCCCTACAGTGCGTTTTTCAATTTTCCAGCTCAAAAAAAAAGTTCCCAATTACCATGACTGCTCTAAATGCACGGTTTCACTGTGAAAACCAATGAGCGGCTGCTGTCCCTGCCCCCTTCTGGAAGAAAACTCCTTCGTCATCTCTGTGACATCACAGAGCATTACAACTGATCGCATGGCTGTTGACACCAGGAGATCAGACAGGTGTACTACGAAGCAAGTTGTACCCAGCCAGGCTTTCTTTGTGTAAATTGGCTTGACAGAAACTAAAGCCCCATTCAGAGATAACAGGTATCACAAAGGTGGTTATCAACTGTCATTCACAGGAATGCTGATAGAAAACTATGAATCATGTGTTATTATATTTATTTTACTGGACAATGCAGCTGCTTATTTCTAACTGACAGCTGCACATTAAAAGTGATAAACTTCAAACTTAATAAATTTAAACATGATCTTGTATTGAAGTGCATTTAGGTCTGACACTGTCCCATAATGCAGGATATCACTTGAATTTTTGGCCAAATCAAAATGAAATGAATGTCATTAATTGAACATTCTCTCTAATAAATACCAGTAGAAGAATACATTTTCTAATCTGTGTTTTATCGGCTGCAGTAACACCAGTGTAAAAGGACCAAACATAAAAACACATTAATGTGATTTCTTTATCACCAACTAAATACATGTCTGGTTCCCATGGCAACACAATGCATGCAGTGTGCAACACTGTGACTACATGGCTTCATTCAATAAAACACATTCCCTCAGCTGAGAATCTGTATCACTCAGAGAATTGCCAGGAATCAATTTGGTAAAAAAGGAGACGCTCCTTTCAGTCGATTTAAATCCTACACTAGTCTGAACATTACCTAACATTACCAGGTTAGCTTCAAAGCATCAGTTACCATGGAAATGTAGCCAGGTTAAAAGACAGCCACCTTCATGACACCGAAAACTCTGGCTTTAAGCTCAGCATACCTCATCAACCCACTAATCTCGCTTCGTAGCACAGCGCTCTGGAACTTTCATTATTTCAAACTTTCTCTGAGTGAATATTTGACACGGAAAATGGAAATATTGTGGTATTCACAGTACAGCTGTATTTTTAAACATTTGTGTACAATGAGTTTGCCAACAACAATGCGGTTTTAAAATCAGTAGTTTAGCTGTAGAGTTGCAGTTGAGAAATGGCTCTGAAGTGGCTGCTGGTTGACATGTAGTCTTAATGGGCTGTCAGTACTCCATACGCATTGTCATTTGACAACAGAAAAATACATCCATGAGAACAGCTTTGTTTGGAATTTGGCTGTATTAAAATGCAGCATATATGTGCACAGAGAGCAGGTGAGAAGCAAACAGATGAACAGTACTTTACTGGTTTTCATCAGAGGTTCCACCATCTCTGAATGTCCTTCAGCATTAGTTTCCACAGGGCATCTGACCAGTGGGCAGTTCATCATACTTAATCATCGCATTAGTCATATTAGCGCCATAACGCACAAACATTCAAGATTTCCTACTTTTGCGGTGACATAACCATCAAAAATAAAAGTAATTCACTGGGTCTTTAGTTCCTCAGATGCTTGTGTTTACTCTTGCAGCCAACAGCAGAACATTTGGTGCACTTTACTCAAGGCTCAGACATTTTAGACTTAGCAGAAGCAGATGTACAAAGTAAATAAACCTGGTGGACACAGCTGACTGTTCTGATGGGCTCACCTAGAAGAAGCTAGGGGTGGGCTTTTACAAAGCGTGAGCAAAATGACTATTGGTTAGTTTGGTCTAAGGTAGCACTTGGTTTGGATTCTTACTGGACTGTAAAGTTATAGGCTATATTGAGGAATGGCTGGAGTGAATGTCTTCACATCTTAACAGCTCTTGGTTTATACCTCCAACTTCATAACAAGCACAAAACACAATCAAAATGGATTTTCACCAGTTGGACCCTAAATATACAAACTTAGTGAAACTCATGAACATGGGTGACAAAGTGGAACGAAGACAAACCTGACTTGTATCAAAGCATACTCGGAGTGCTCAGCCTGTCTGTAATACTCCGTGAAAGGCTGCAGGACACAACCAGCTGGAAGCTCCTCTGTTAAACAAAAGGAAAAAGCAAATCAGCACCAGTGTTGGATAAAACAACACTATTATTCAGTCACACTAAACAAACCGTTACCGCCAAATAGCATGGAATCCACAGTGCGTTTCCTCTGCAGCTGTCTTTCTTTCTCCTTCTTCACTCGTCTCCTCTGCTCTCTTCTCCTCTCCTCCTCCTGCTCTCCTTCAAGCATTACCATCAGAGCTTTCTCCTCTGCTGCATAAACTGCTGTCCTCCTCTTCATGACACACCTTAGCTGCTGCAGTCTGCTGCTGAACGCCTGGTCACACTGCTCAGTGACGACACCTGACGTGCACAGACAGAGAAGGATGGGTACCGAAACCAGGAGATACTTAGATGATACTGAAGATCAGAGGAGTAACAAGCTCTGACATAATCAGTTCTACACAAAATTTCTTGGCCAGAGACGACGCCTTCGATGAAGATATACGAGTGGACAGGTGAAACCTTTGAATAACTTCCAAGTCCAAGTTAGAGATCTGAAAGAGCTGACAGATTTTAATTTTTTTTGTGGAAAAAGCAAAGTTAATTGAAGTAAATGTGAATAATACTATTTTGATTTTAATAGCACTTTTTGTCCTTTTGCTTTAAAATAATAAATTACACTTAAAGTTGTTGAGGGGTTTCTGTCAGTCTACTTAAACCACTTGCCACCTCACGGTGCAAGACATTTAAAACACTTATAAAATATCAGAATTGCACCAACAGTCTCTCCTTTAGTTTTAGTATAGAATCATGTCCACTGTGTGAATCAATAAGTGAACAATATAGAAACCCTCCCTACCGCCCACACAGCATGTGAACTATAACAGCAATTAATCCCAACTTAGAATCCTGTCATTAAGTGCTTGTACATCACTTGTTTGTCGAATTTTACTGAACAGGCAGTAGTACTCAGGCAAGTGATGTGAAATATATCAGGGGATTCACTGAGAGTAGAGCTGACTGTCTGATGGTTGGTAATTAAGACTTCAATAACAATAGTTTTAAGATCCTTCAGTGGTGCTGCCTGAGAGAAAAGAGGAAGCAGTCTTCTTTCCTCACTGTCAGAACATTTTAAACTTTTTATGTTGACAGGTGAAGCCTGCAGTGTTTGCTAAAATGCCTTCATGGTTCACTGCCAACTGTGTGGCTGAAAACAAGAAGTCGTCAGCTGAATAAGACACAGACTCTCACCTTTCCTTGATGCTGCTTCTTTCCTGAGCTTGCGTAGCTTCTCCAGGGATCTCAGAACGTCTTGCATCCTTTTCACATCTGTTTGCTTCTTCCTCACCTCACACAGCACAGAGTCTGCAGCAAGCTTCAGTTCGTGCTCCTGGGTCACACAATTGTAATACAACTCCTTATCATCTTCGTCATTCTTATCATCTCTTTGTGGCAAAATCCTCACATTAGGCTTCATGACTATCCCGTTACAATAATACAAACAGCATGTGATGTTTTGAGAAAAGCCGTTTGTGTTTTTCATTTGGATCATTATAGTCCAGTAAAATGGAGACACTGGAGAAACATAACACATGTTTTTATCTGAAGATCTTCATTGAAAAATGACATTAAATTAACCATTTCAACATTGTCAATGTCTGCACTGCTCTCTGCACAGCTCCATTCCCATCCACAGCACTGAGATTTATTAAAATCCAGAAAAACAAAACCAAAACTATCTCCATTAATGAAAACTATTAATAGGATGTTTTGTAACTGAATCACAGAAGTAACACAGTATTACCTGAAGCAAACTGTCCTTTCAGAACAAAGTATTAGGGTCAAATCCAAAAAAATGAAGCAACATCTGGATTTCCCTCTAGACATTTATTTTATTGGTTGATTCATTTCTTAGTCGAGAAAATGTGCTCAAGTCAGCCAACATTTTCCTGACAGAGTTTTTTTAATCATATGTCTGGATTTGCTCATCAGCTTGTTGTGGTGCTAAAGGCTAACTGCAGGACTGGCGTTCTTACCTTCTTCTTCTCTTCCACCTGCCTTATCTTCTTCATCCTCCATATATCTATAGCGGCATCTTTGTCAGAGCTGCGCTCCTCTGCGTCTTTCTTTTCGATCTGCAGCTTTCTCTTGGCTCTCATTCGCCGGGCTCTCCCCCGAACAATACGGGACAATTCAACTTTCAGACGATCTAAACACTCGGCGTCACTGAGGAGGCTCACGTTGTCCTGCAGCTCTCTCCTCACATGTAAAGTCGTTAAATATGAGTCTGTCCACACACCGTCGTCGTGCACGCTTTCTTTCAGCGACTGACAAGCCTTTTCCAGCTGTGAGACCAGCTGAGCTGCCCGGTGCAGAGCCGCTCTGAGGACGGAGACAGAACTGAGTTGTGATTGTTGGGTCTGGATGCTCCTGGGGGCCTTCCCCCTGCTCGGTAAGAACCGTCGGAGCCACTGTGTGTCGTGCCTTCTCTGCAGGGTGCTCTCATCCTCCGGCTGTGTTGCTGCCAGACTGCCGTCACAGTCCTGCCGCGGGGTCGGACCAAGGGGGCCGCTGAGGTGGACTCCCGCCTCACAGCGGTCCTCATATCGTTTCTGGTTGCAGTCTGACACCGACTCACAGTCAAACAAGGGAGTCGGAGGAGCGGCTCTGCACTGAGAGAAAGTCTGTAACGTTGACACTCCGGGGCTGCTGTATGCGTTCACCGGAACGGGGAGGGCCCTACCCGAGAAGTGTGGGGGGAACGGGCAGCCGAAAGGAGGAGGAGGGTTTGAGTGGTCAAACTCGTACGGAGGGTCAAAACGCGGCCCTCCGAAACCCGCTCCTTGTGGAGGGGGTGCGGGAAAATTGCACACGGGTCCGTAGGAGTGACCGTCATAAGCCGGTGAAGGTGTCCACGGTGGAGCAGGGTGTTCCTGCCCGCTGCCCGGCCGCGGTCTGTTAGCGGTGTACGGTGTCGGCATGTAGCCACCGCCGAAGACAGGAGGCTGCTGAGTGTCTGGGAAGGCGTGCTGGTACGTGCTGTCCATGTTGTGGCCTCAAATCACAGAACATGTACTGAACTCACTTTACAGCGATGTTTGCGAAAAGGTCCACCTGAAACTACATGTTGACAGCCGCCATGTTCCTGTGACGTCATTCTTCCTCGAATTTTAGCGGCGTTTGTCACACCAGCCTCAGAGGCATTAGCGCCTCCTGCTGGACTGCAACGTGCGGCCTTGACTGTATACATTTTGGGAGTGTGATAAAATCAAGGAATTCGGGAGGGAGGTGACCAGCCACATCAGATCCAAACTCCACTAGACTCTAACATGACACTGCTACATTTATATCCGCCAGATCTCAATCTGAGACCCAAACAATAGCAATGTACTGATTTCTCAATATTGCAAGCAAATCAATCAATCAAATCGATAAATAGCTTTAAACAGGAAGAAAACTTCTGCACCTACAATTAGTGCCTGAATAAAGAATATGGCACAATGTATGTCAATGGAGGGAATAACATATTTTAAAAGACAAATTGGAAGTCTACGAGGATATTTGGAAACCATTTGGTGATTTCATAATTATTATTTTATCTCTTTAATTGTATGTATTCATAATTGTTTTCTTGGTTATTATTTGCATTTTTACTCTGTATGGTGCCAACAAACGGTTTATTTCTTTGTACTCAGGACCATGATGTGCACTACATTCATACTATCTCCTAATGAAATAGAGGCTAAGAGAGAGAACTTGGTTCTGTGTGTGGGAGGGGTGGATTGTGTTTGTTAAAGAAAAAAAGAAAAATGTAACACATAGCAAATGCTTTTCTCTGTATGAATGCTGAAAACAAAACAAAACAAAACAAAACAAAACATTGGGGGAAAAAAGCTTTATTAATAAAAATTGCTAAAGATTGAATATGATTACTATTATTATTTCTCAGCACTCACTTCAGTGTGATTTAAATAGTGTCTATGGAAAATACAAAAGCTTTAATTTAAAGAGTGCAAGGCAGAAATACAAAAATGTTTACTCTTTATTGCCAGTCACACATTACAGGTTTTGGCCACATGGCTGATGATACAGGTTACTCTTCACTGATTCCTATAAATAATTGACAACATGTGACAAAATAATGTATACCACTGACATACTCTACCTCGTATTAATGTCTCTGTAGTAATAAATCATGCTGTTACAGTATAACAAAGAGCAAAGGGCCACATATGAAAATACTCTATCTTTGAATGACAATGACATTACATTTTACAGGGCTTTATTTTGAAGGGCAACATCAGACTGGACAGATTTTGAGTGAGTTACACTCTCGTGACCGCCCGTCATTCAGAGATGAGCTTGGTCTCTGGAAACAGGTGGCTATCTTTAAAAATCGATCTACATTTTGAGGCAGCATAGCTCATATATGCTACTTTACAAGTCTTTAAATGACCAGTGTCTGCAAGGAAGGAAAAAATGGGGGAAATGCTCTTTAAAAATGAGGAGGGTCAAGCTTATGTTGATGTAATGGGTTAATCTGTAAGGGCATAGTAGATCACACCCTACAGAAACATTTACATGATTGTTGGAAACATAATGCGTGCTTTTATGTGTGTGTGTGTGTGTGTGTGTGTGTGTGTGTGTGTGTGTGTGTTTGTTTATTTGGATGGATTGGAAAAGGATAAGATGCTAAGTATAAACCTATGTAATCCAAAACTATGCCCCACTGTTCAGTTATTAGTCATATTACCTTGGAGGTCACTATGGCATCATCATTAGCTAGGAATCTGCTGTAAAAATAATAATAATAAAAAAAGAAACTTAAACTGGTAGCAAAGTAGACAATTACATGGAATCCTATTAACCAACACTGACACAAAATATTTATATTAATGGATGGTTCAAAAGAACCAGAGACTGGAGGCACATCCTTCCTTCTGATTTTGCAGTGATAAAGAAAACATCAGATCATCTTTAAGTGTGCACAGCTGAATTACTTGAAAATTCAGTTTCCGTCTTCTGGTTGGTGCAGTTTTACAGATCATTCTAACTGTTGTGAAGAGTCCAAAAAAATCAGGTGTGAACATCTCAATTCCAATCAACTCCTTTCTATTTAGGATTAGTAGAGATAGTCTATACATGTCTTAACATCAAAACCAAAGCTGGATTGGAAGTAAAAAATACATTTAAAAAATGTGGTTTCCAAAACACCCAAATGCAACAGGACCGGACATATAGGCTACATAATATATCTGGTCCTGTTGCATTTGGGGTTGGAGATTAATCTTAATAAGAAGGATCTTGAGTTAAACTGAATTCTTTTTACAAAGGGTACAGCCATAGGTAAGATGCTTGCTCCATGGTATGCAAACATTTATAGGGCAAACTGGGAGGAATCTGTCTTAACCAGTTCTCTACTGAGACCATTATATTACATTAGGTTCCTTGTTGATTTCTGGGGTGTCTGGACCTACTCAAAACAACAATTTATTGCATTCATAAGCAGTTAAACTTATACAACAGGTCTATTAAAAATAAAGATAAAATGCAGCATTGATCAAAAACATATAAACTTTTTAGACACCTGTAAAGGACTACAGTTCAACAGCACAGGTAAATTAGACTTTAAAGAAGTATTTTGGGTAGCCATGGCTCAAGTGGTAGAGCAGGTTGTTAGCTAATCACATGGAATGGACATTTCCTTGGGGAAGAACCCACTTACACCCAAAGTTGCTCCCAATGACAGCCAAGCACTTTGCAGCTCTGCTGCCATTGGTGTGTGCATGTAAATGGGTGAAGTACCACAGAGGTAGAAAAACACCATATAAGTGCAGACCATTTAGCAGTGTGTGTTTGTATGCAGATAGCACTTTCCCTCAACAATTGTGTGTTCATTGGAAGACCAAATGCCCTCTTCTTGTTATTTGAGAGTGACCCCGTTCACTCTTCTCTTTTGTGTTCTTTTGCTTATAGTTGTAAACTGAAATTAATGGCATGTGGCACTTGCTACACCCCAGCCCCAAAACGGGTACTTCTGGGTTGCAGGTACTAATGCTGGCCCTTTGGTTTGTTACGGCCCCTACCGTAAGATATGTGTTGCTGTTTTCTGTGGGAGAATGAGATCTCTTCTTGTCCCACATCATTGCTTTCATTCATGAACAGGCCAGGAGCATCACTGCTATTTGGGACACCGGGAGGCTGAGGACTGGCTGGATCAGCAGAAGAGGAGGTACTTAAGCACCCTCTTCCTGCTGGCGTGCGGTGGGGAGTCACCTTTCGTGTCAGCAGAGCCTTGTTGTCCCTGAAATCATCTTTTGTCCTTTTTTGAGTGTGTTTGTCAGAGATATTGTTAGAGATTCTTAGCTAGAATTTGGATTGGTTGTGTTAGAACTCAGGTTTTGAAGCACTAGTTATTGGGTTCATTTAATATTAAATTGTAAATTATTTTCTGTTAGTTACAAGCAGTAAGGGCGGGCTGCCATTTTTGTTTAAAACTCGTTTCTCTTGTTTTGGTTAATCTAGGGAGGTAGGTTTAGCAAATTTATTTTTGTTTATTTATGTTCCCTCCAGGATTTAGTGAAGTTTTGGGGTTCTAGATAGTTTGTTTTGTTTGTTCTGTTGGCATTAGTCCACCCTGAAGCAAGGCTTCTATTGTTCTCTTCTTTTGCTTGTAAATGCCATTTTGAACTGTGTAAAAGCAGGAATTTCGGTATTTTTTTTAATACTTGTTCCTCCTCCGCCTTTCTTTTATGTTGTGCCTCTGCATCCCTAGACCGGGGACATAACAGGTTAATGAATTAGAGTTGGTAATAGAGCTTTTCATGTGGGTACACATTTTCTAAATCCAGAACCCATTACACAATGTGGCCATTCAAGACCCATCCCTCTTGCCCATCCTAACTCTTACCTGCCCTTGGCTGTTTGATCCATATTTTCATTTGCCATGATCTGGATTTTGTTCCTGTCCGGTTTCAGCTGAATAAATATTAAAAATTACTAAAAATAAAATAAAACCAATGACAGATTTCAAGCTTTATCATCCATTAAGAAAAAAATCAAGTCAGGTAAATGAATACTTTAAGTTTTATTGAAAGGTACCTTATGTTCACTCTCCTGTCTTTCTGCCTGTATGTCCTGCATTTGGGGTCTCTACCTTGACTAGCACAAAACATTAGGCAAGAAACTTTCAGATTCTTTCTTTATTAAGATAACTCTGTGGACCTGTTTCACAATTTCACATGTTATTAACAACAGTAAATTACAAAAATAAGTTCTGCTTACAGCGTAATACAAAAAACATGAGCCGTTGTGTTATATGCAGAAAGCATTTGAGGGGGAATGAGAGAGGATGCCTTTCCCCTTGTTTGCAAAATTAGCAAATGTATCCTCTTTGTTAACCTGCCACCCCCAATGTACATGGGTCTGTGTGTTGGTTGGTGGTGTGGTAGCAAAGAGATGCTCCCATTAGGCCACCTCTCATTTAAAAAACAATAAATACCATACTGGTCATATGTAGTATGATGGCTGTGTGGTGACATGTCAGCAGTAGAAAATAAATGTCCTTCTGCATAAACCAATGCAATATTGTTGTTAAGTTACAGGCCAGACTGTAGGTATTCCAGCAGTAAATATGAATTATTTAAACAAGATTTTATTGTTCCATTTCACACATCAACCAGTTGAGGAGATATAACGTCATCTTTGAGAAGTCAGACATCAGTTGATTTGCTGCGTTTCATTTCCCTGAAATGAAAAAAGGAAGAAAAAACAAATCATAGCATAAGATGAAGAGCTGGGTGAAGATCCACAAAGCTGCATGAAACCTTTTTACATAAACTGTTGTCTATTTTTACAGCTGCAGCTTAGGCAATAAATAAACTGATGTTGGGTACATGTTTAATTCAATTCAATTCAATTCAATTTTATTTGTATAGCGCATATTTACAACAACAAGTCATCTCATAGCGCTTACAGTATTTATAATTGCACGCTAATGTTTTGCAGGTATGGTGCTATAATGATTTGTGTTTAGCATTTTAGTTCATTGTGTTAACATGGTAAGCTTAGCTGATTAGCAGAGTAGACAGAGACCATTCCATATATACATATAATATTATATTAATATATAATAATAAAGTAGCACATGATCTATCTCAGAGTTATGTTTAAGAGTAAGGGGAAAATGGAGCATGACATGGACAGGTAGCTTGGTGTGGCATCAACAGTAATACAGGTGTTGTACCAGACGATTGTGATGAAGAGGAAGATGAGGGACTCTACTTTTCAACCCTCATCTATGGTCATGAACTCTCGGTAGTGACCAAAAGAATAAGATTGTAGGTGAGTTAAATGAGACTTAAATGAGTTTCCTTTACAGGATGGCTGGGCTAAGCCTCGGAGATAGGGTGAGAAGCTCGGACATCTGGAGGGAGGTCAGAGTGGAGTCGCTACTCCTTCACATCCAAAGGAACTACTTGAGGTGATTTGGGCATCTTGTCAGGATGCCTCCTGGATGACTTCCTTTGCAGGTTTTCCATGTACGTTCAGCTGGGAGAAAACCCTGGGGTAGACCCAGAACTCGTTGAAGAAAATATCTCATCTGGCCTGGGAATACCCCAGGATTCCCCACAAGGAACTGGGACAAATGGCAGGGAAGAGGGATGTCTGGAATGACATGTTTTACCTGCTGTGTCTGCAGCCTGACCCCAGATAAGCGGAAGAAAATGAATGGATGGATGTTTAGAAAAGTTTGCAGTTGAATGAGAACTAATAGCTCTAACATTTTGAACAGAAAAGGAAGCTTTGAAATTGACCTATAGTTACAGAGGGCAGAAGGGTCCAAACTATTTGATAAGGGGTTGTAGCACAGCCTGTTTAACCCTCAGGGGATATCGAGGACGTTTTTGTCCTCTAACATCCTCAAAGGGCAGTAAATTAAAGCATCCCCTGAGGGTTAAAGGCAGCTGGAACACAACCTGACATGAGAGAAGTATGTATCAAAGCAAAAACAGTTGACTCAACAACATTTAAAACATTGGCAGCCAAGGTTTAGGAGGAGGAGAGAGTAGAGCAGGTGAACTAATCATAAGGTTGGCAGACATGGTGCTTATTCTTTGTCCACTTTCCCTAGCTTGACTACATTCCTGTCTGGGCGCATGAGAAGAATCATTCAACCGGGGCTGTGATCTTGGTTTAGTTTCTTTTGCTCCTGAGTGGAAATGAGTGGAAGTCCTGAGTGAAAGTCCACAATATTGGTTATAAAGTGTGATTAGCTTCTCAGCACTTATATCACAAAAGCCATCTAGAGTATAAAGTACATTACAAGCAGTAGAAAAACTGTGACAATAGAAATGTATACAAATGTCACACATTTTCAAGAGTGAATGAATCATTACCATTGACTTGTCAATACTATTTATAAAATCTTAGACCAATGGTCCAGTCCTAAAAAAAATATTATATAAAACACCTCAAAAAGCAGCAATTCAAAGCTAGAGTATTAGTCGGAAGAAATCTGCTGACAGGGAAAGCTGGATTGGGACATCAGCACCAACCCTCCACCCTTGCTGATTGTCTGAGTGGAGCTGAGGAAGGTGCTTTCAGGAGGAAGAAGTCGAGAAAAAATGTAAACACACCAGCTTGAAGCCAAGTTTCCATCACCAGCAGAAAATCTAACTCATGGGAGTCCAAGATGTCGTTTAACAAGAAAGACTTGTTTGCTAACAATTTAGCAATATCAGGAGGACAAAGAGTAAGCTCCATCGCTGGTGACATGGAGGCAAGAGGGGGAAAATTCCGGTGGTTTATCACACTTTTTGTGGTCCTGCATCCACAAGGACAGAGGATTTTCTGGCAGCAGGTTGGGAACAGTAGGAACTTTTGCAGGAAATGGTCTGATGCACCAGTATGCTGGAATTCCCGGCAGAAACGTAAGAAGACTGTTTGTCTTGCCTCCCAGATTGCAGCAGACACTGTCGCCATCTTGCCAACCAAAAATCATAATGTGTTATGAAGCACGTGGGTCAAATTCTTAGTTGCTTGTATTGGGTAAGAGTTAGTGGAACTATCTAATTGGGGCCAAGCTTGAGAAATGTTATCTAGCCTGGAAATCACACACACTAGCCTGGAAATCACACACACACACACACACACACACACACACACACACACACACACACACATATATATATATATATGTTAATTTATGCTACTGAGCAATAAATTGCTTTACCTGAACCATTTCCATCTGGTTTCTAGCTACATCCAGCTGACCCTAGAGGCTTGATCGTAACAATGGGCTAGGCATAGTCTTTTGCATTCCAGCCTAAGGTTCAATCCAAGATAATAGTTAGGCTGCGGTCACTATTCTTTTCTGGTGGCCATGAAGCCGAGCAGCCACCAGTCCATGCTGTGCCATGTCTGGGCTTGGGAAAAATATGATCAGCACAAACAGGCCCTTAAGAAGGTAAATCAGCTGTTCAGCTGTTTTAAATCCAGCAATTTAGGCAGTCCCTTATCAAAGTCACATTTTTTCTAGATAAACTGTAGCGTGTGACTAGGCAAGCTTATGTGTCTTAATTAAGTACTGATATACCTTGACTCAAGGGGAGCACTCCTTGTGTATATGAAATATAACACACAACAGAGTTCCTTCACGCAGCAAAAGCTACAATATAACCAGACAGTCTGATTGTGTTCCCGAGGCTTGACTCTGTGTTTTTAAAGCTTTGACATATTACTTTTTAATGCTGACTTACCGAAGCTCCTCCTTCAGTCGAGCCAGTTTGTCATGCAGACGATCATTCTTCACCCTCATGGGATTGTTTGGGACAAACCAAGCTGCTATAAACTTACACACCACCACAACATGCTGCAAAAAAACACAAAACAAACAAAATCTTAAACTTTAAAAAAAAAAAAAAAATTTAAATGGACAAAAGTTATGCACCAACAACTGAAGTACGAACCTCAAAGAGGATGACAAAGGCAAAGCGCACAGCCAAAACCATCCAGAACTGAGAAGTCAGGCTGTAGTCCTTACTCCTGTAGTCTCTGTAGCTGCACACATGAAATAGTTTGTCTGGTTTATCACAACTGTGAATGACTACTCTGTATGTTTACACTGAGAAGAATTTCTTTAGTCATCTCACCTGCACTGTGTAATGCCTGAGTCTGACAGATTCATAAAGGCTGTAGACAGGGTGTCATTGATGTAGCCCTGCATGCAGCTGCAACAAGAGAACAAACACATGCTGACATAACACAAAAACTTGTTGATGTGTCGTGTGTTTCTACCAGCTAAAAATATGACTAACTGTGTATGATTGGTTCCACTAGCACATGGGCCGTAACGGTAACGGTAGACGAGGCGAGGAATAAAGTCTGATGAGATTCCAATGACAAGACCGTTAGCAATAACTGCCAACACCCCAACGGCTTCCAGAACTTTTGTCCACACACCTGCAGATACAATATGAAAGATAATGATTACATGCATACAGCTGTATTACATTTTTTGTGACGCTTTCAGTATATGCAGTACATGCATGTTTAAAGTTTCATGTGAAGTACTGTTATTCTGACCTATTCTTCAGTAAGTTAAGTTTTTTTTAGGCTGACATAGACTTTTGATTCCTAATGTTATGTGCAACAGATGCTATATCAGCCCACTCACATAATTCAGAAAGTCACACAGAAACTTTGGCTAGTATATTATCAATAGACACACAGCTCACCAATGTCATTGGTTTTCCGAGGGATCAGCCGTCGTTCCAGTTGGACCATCTTGATGGCATCCAGACGGATTTCAAAAATGTTGTTGATGAGAGCCAGAAGGGGTGCGAGAGGAAATGCTGCCACAAATATGGTCGTGAAACTGAACTGGATCACTGGAGGGCACAGAAAGCAGTAACTTAAAAACATGGGACTATAATTATTTAAAAACTTCACTAAGAATGTAGCATTTGGAAAATATTAAAAGTTTAATGCAAAACTGGTAGTGGTATCTAAATACTTGTGACAAAAAGAAAGTAATAAATACGATGATTTCCCTGGTTTACACAGTTAAACTTTGCAAAGACTTGCTCACTTTGAATAATCTCTTATGTTCTTATTTTACCAGCAAGGTGCCGCATCATGTTCCAGCTGCACACTGCCTCCCTTGCAGCTGTGACTGTTTCAGTGTCCATTAGAAACATTTCAATATAGTAGAATAGTATCTGTTCTTCTGCAGCTATATTTCTAGAAGAGTTGTGAACAGAACTTTGCATACACTTGTCAAGATCAAGATGTGCATCTTTGACAGTAAAAACTATCGTGTAAGTGCAGCCAATGTGTTCGAATCAGTCTTATAAAAGAAAAATTGCATCATTCTCAGAAATAATAAACTACGAATTTTAATAACTCAACAATTATTCTTATCAAATATTTGGACGCGTGTATGCATTAAGTTCACTCGCTTCATTCGTGCAAATAATTCATTTGCGCGTTTAACGTGGCGAGATTTGTGATGCCGCTGTGTCCAGGTCCATCAATCCTCCAGATACGCACACAGCTGGAGGAATTCCACCACCTTCTCCAGGAGCTGCGCCTAAATAACAGCTGCTTCCAGCACTATTTTCGGCTGACCCGGACCCAGTTTGATGACCTGTTGGAGAGGATCAGGACCAGGATAGAAGTGCTCCATCCCAGGTGCAGAGCCCCTGTCCATCTGTCTCTGGTGAGTAAATCAATCAATAATCTCGGTGTAGTTGCAAAAACATGAATGAATCATGATCTTGACGTCACCAAAGAATCTCAACGCTGATTGGTCATCGCGGTGTGAAAGATCACTAAAGTTTAGTTTTTTCCAACTTGCGTGTCCTTCGCGAATTCACGTCATTTGCACGATTCGCCCCGCAGGACGTTTACTCGAGTCTAATCACATCATATTGACTTTATATGTAAATGAATGTTTTTACTCGTGTCTTGTGTGAACAAAGCATTGGCTGTGCAGTTGCTGTACCACACAGTGATGGAGCTGCTCAGGACACTCTTGATTACACTTCTGTAGGAGTTGCATAGAATTTTGGCTGGCATGCCAAACTTCCTCAGATTTCTCAGAAAGTAAAGCCACTGTTGGGCCTTCTTTATAGTGTGGGGTGTGTTGTGAGACCAGTTGGAATCCTCGCTGATGTGGACACTGATGAACTGGAAGATCTTCACCTTTTCCACGTGAGTCTTGCCTATGTATATCAGTGTGTGCCGCTGTGTTGCCCTCCTCCCTGGATCAACAATGGTCAATCCTTGGTCTTCTCTGCATTAAAGGAAAGCATGTCCTGACACCAGACCACCAGACCTGCCACCTCCCTCCCGTACGCTGTCTCATTCCCCGCAGTGATCATTCCCATCACTGTTGTGTCATCAGCAAATTTGATGATAATGGTGTTACTCTGGGAGGCCACACAGTCATGTGTGAAGACTCTGTACA